CCGCCGGAAAAACGAAACTCGACGACATGTACACCGGTGGTTGCATCTTCGTAGACCACGCATCCGGCTACATTTTCGTCGAGCATCAAGTCAGTTTGAACTCGCACGGCTCAAGGCAAAGAGAGCTTCGAGCGAATGTCGCAACACAGGAGTGACGCCGCAAGAGTATCTCGCCGACAACTCGAAAACGTTTACGTCCGCCGAGTTCTCTCGCAACCTCTCCGAGTTCCAACAAGTCATCCGATTCGCTGGCGTCGGCGCTCACCATCACAATGGGATCGCCGAACGCAACATTCGAACCATCATGGCCATCGCGAACCATGATGCTGCATTCGGCCATCCATTGGCCGGACGTCGCCGACCCACACTTTGGCCCCTCGCCGTCAAGCATGCTGTGTTCCTAGTGAACCACATGCCTGACCCACGAACTGGCCTTTCCCGCACGATGTCTTCACAAAGACTCGTTGGGAGCAAAAGAAATTGATGGACGTCCACGTTTGGGGATGTCCAGTTTACGTCCTCGACAAAATGATCTCGGACGGCAAGAAATTGCCACGTTGGACTCCTCGCTCAACTCGCACCGTCAACCCTCGGTTCTCCGACAAACACGCCAGCTCGGTCCCTCTCGTTCTCAATCCACAAACGGGGTACATCACCCAGTTTCACATCGTCTTCGACGATTGGTTCGCAACTGTTCCCGCTTCCGCCGACGACCTTCCGAACTTCAACGATGATTGCTGGCAACGAATGTTCCGAGACTCGACGTTCCAATACGTCCTCGACGACGAAGACGAAGAAAGGTTGATTGTTGGTCCACCGACTACGAGCAAGCCAACGAACTCCTCTCCCAGATGCAACGCGTCGCAACTGCTCTCGACAACGCGACTCCTCCTCAGGTTCTTCCAGTCGCTCCACCTCCGCTGTCAACTCCGTTGCCGCCTCCAAGGGAGCAAATCGCGACGCCACCACCAGTCGTTGTGCCTCCTCCCCTGCCACTCCGTTGCTGACTCCAAGGAGACTCCGCAACCGCCTACGATTGCGCCACAACTCCCGACTCCAACTCCGGTCAAACTCTTCCCATCGTCGCCGACTCAATTCGTCCTACAAACGAAAGCGACAAGAAAGTGAGCGAGCAACCAGTCGCTCCAAAGGCAACAAAGCAAAGAGCACACCTGTTAAACACGAACCTCGTCGCTCCACTCGCAATCGTTCGGCACCTGTCCGCCTCGGATACGACGGACAACAAGGACACGGTTACATGGCCGAATTCGATGGAACCTCCCTCGAATGGCTGTACAACGAAGTCGCCGAGTGTCTTTCGCCACCTCCCTCATCGTATAAGGCGAGTGTCAGCGATCCTGACACTCTGAGCTTCAACGAAGCGATGGCGGATCACGACAACATCGAAAAATGGCTGAAGGCTGCAAACGACGAAATTCAAAGTTTGCAGAAAAACGGTACATGGATCGAAGTGCCGATCACGGAAGCCAAGACTCGAATTTTGCCCGGTACTTGGGTGTTTCGTCGCAAACGTACTCCCGATGGTACTATCAGTAAGTACAAGGCACGCTACTGTGTAAGAGGCGATCTCCAAGAAAACGTTCAGGAGACTTTTGCCCCAGTCGTGGCTTGGAGTACTGTACGGTTGTTCCTAGTTCTCTCACTTACTTTGAACTGGAAAACCTGCACATTGACTTCAGCAGCGCGTTCGTTCAAGCCCCGCTTTCGGATCCAGTCTGGATCCATTTGCCACGTGGATTCCACTCTCCGAGAGGCCACGCCACGTGCCTTCGACTCCTGAAAAGCCTTTATGGCTTAAGTGTGGCGCCACGACTTTGGTACCAACACTTGTCGGAGGCTTTGCGCGAGGAAGGCTTTAAAGCCTGCGCTAACGACCCGTGTCTGCTCTACAAAGATACAATGGTGGTCCTATATGTGGATGATTTGGGTATCGCCTATCGCGACCAGAACGACCTTGACAAGCTCTTCGCCAACCTGGAAGCGAAGGGTTTAACTTTACTCGCGAGGGCACGTTTACTGACTCGGCATCAATTTTACTCGCGACGCTATGAATGGCACGCTGACGTTGACCCAGAAGGTCTCATCCAGAAAATCAAGGAAGCGACTGGCATGTCCGACAGCAATTACAACTGGACGCCAGCCGCTCAGGCCGCACTCGGAATCGACCCCGACGGATCCCATGACGGAGAAGCCTGGAGCTACCGTTCCATCGTCGGTATGCTCTCTACCTGTCCACAAACACTCGCCCCGACATCGCTTTCGCCGTCAGCCAGGTCGCCAGGTTTTGCCACAGTCCGAAACGAAGCCACGCGTCCGCCGTCAAAACTCTCGTTCGATATTTGCATCGCACGAGCGACATGGGCATGATCGTCAAGCCCACCGGCACCTTGAATCTCGACTGTTACGTCGACGCCGACTTCGCAGGCCTTCATGGCCGTGATCCCGATCGTTCTCCGACCTCCGCGAAGTCTCGAACTGGGTACATCATCACGCTCGGCGGATGTCCCATTTTGTGGAAATCTCACCTCCAAAGTGAGATCTCGTTGTCCACGCTCGAAGCCGAATACTCCGCTCAGCTCCGCGATGCGTACGCTCTTGCCCCTCCGTTCCATGCTTCAGGAAGTCGCCTCCGGCATCAAACTTCCCGCACGTTCACGTCGACGATCAAGTGTCAGGTCTTCGAAGACAATGGCGCCTTCTTCTTGCCGTAAACCAACGCATCACTAACCGCACGAAGTACTTCCAGGTGAAGTGGCACTTCTTCTGGCAGCACGTGCGTGATGGCACGGTCGCCATCGTGAAGGTCGACACTCAGGAGCAGTGGGCGGATTTTCTTACGAAAGGACTAAATCGTGAGAGTTTCGAACGCGTCCGCAAACTGGTCCAAGGATGGTAACGGCCATTCAAACCCTTGTGTCTCTTGTTCAAACTGTAACCCTCGTTTGACTCGTATCTATTTTAACTGACGTTTTGTGTTTTGTTTCAGCATTTATGGATGAAAGGGGAGAATTGAAACCTACGCTGCACTGGACTGCGATGCCATCGTTGTACTGTGCTACTGTGAGGTCATCCATCGAAATGTGAAACATGATACGCTGTACTGTCCGGTCTCTAATTAATTTCGTACGAACTACCCGAAATGTCAAATGCCATTTGACACGTTCGACGAGTTTGTCGTTCATACGATCGAGTGCCGAATTTTACTGTAGCTTATAATTTCTCAGAACGTACTTTGTGTGAAACCTTCCTACAGTAATTTTCCTACGGTACTACGTACTATTTCCTACGATTAGAGTATCATCTCCGGTGATAGTCTCAAGTGGGCGTATTGTAACGTGCAAAACGCACAACATTTTGCTCCAACCGATGGGTGCATTTTCCAATGGCCACGTCCAATTATTGACTTGCTTGTTGACCTATCGTCACATAACGTCAACAACTACTCATTTCACCTTCACAACTTCTCAAAATGTACCACTGTTTCGTTCTGCTGCTACTAGTCACGATAACGTGTTCGTCATCATTTGTTTTGAACGCTCAATCGACATCAGGCGTGCCTCGTTGTTGTCGTACTTCCATTCACAAATTCACTCCGCTGCACATGTTTACTGGAATTGTAGAGGAAATGGGTAAGGTGGTTTCGCTCGAGGAACGTGATGATATGATATTGTGGGATGGATCCAAAGGAAAAGGAACTGAAATTGTCGTGGAGGCAAATGTCGTCATGGATGGGGCCTATTTGGGGTGAGTACTATATGCCATGTATATGTATAACGCCGTCACTGGTTGTTGTGTTGTGTGGCTGTACCCGATGTTGTACGAATGACAGCTGGAAATGACACAAACACGCTCTCTTGTATTGTTCTTTCAAGAAACATAACAATTCATCCCTACCTAATTTCCCTTCCCACAAAATACTAATCAACAGATGCTCGATTTGTGTGAGCGGCGTTTGTCTCACAGCGACAGAACTGGACGGCAACACATTCAAGGCAGGGTTGGCACCGGAAACATTGCGACGAACCTACCTTGGGACACTTACCGCAGGGGATGCGGTGAATCTCGAACGTGCGTCCGAAATTGGTGGCAGGAATTCTGGCCATTTCGTTCAGGGTCATGTGGATGGCACGGGAACTGTTCTGGAGAGGTGGATTGACAATGACTCGCTTTGGTACAAGATCCAAACGTCAGATGAAATATTGAGGTATATCGTTCCAAAGGGATTCATTGCCATTGATGGAACATCACTGACCGTCGTTGATGTCAACACAGTTGAAAAGTGGTTCTCGTTTATGCTCGTAGAGTATACGCAAAAGAAGATCATTATTCCAGCCAAATTGCCTGGTGCCAAGGTCAACCTGGAGGTCGACGTTTTGGGGAAATACTCAGAAAACACGCTTGCGGCGCTGATCCCGCGGCTGGAAGCACTGGAAGCGAAGGTCGCATCGCTCGAGAAAATGTTGGCTGAGAAATAAGGCATCATGCTTCGAAAACACGTATGGATGAATTTTTCAGTATTACTTGGGAATCTCAGAGTGTTCAATCATTCCAACAGCTATAATTGCTACTCTTGCACGATACTTTAAAACATCTTCCTCTTCGTTGAAGCCGATATCTAATTAACACCCAATTCTTGATCCTGTAATTGGTTCCATCGGGCCGGAATCAAGTACTTTCCAACTGAGATCTGCTCAGTGTCGTTAAGATCCTGGACAATACCGTACAGGCACACTTCCCATCAAATATAATTCAAAATACAGCAACAATATCTACTACTGAGGTACACAATTGCTTCCATCACTTGCATTATAATCCGATCTCCAGTCAAATGCAACACGAAGTTAAATAATGGAGAAGAAACCATCCTTCCGTCTGCCTTCCAAATCGATTGTGTTGATGTACTGTCGTAAAAGATATAATAAATAATGTACTGCAAATACATATCGTAAGGTGAAATGATGTCAAAATGTAAAAAACTAGGTCGGTTCGGGGGATTGAACCTCGGACCTCCTGCACCCAAAGCAGGAATCATACCACTAGACCAAACCGACATCTGTTTTCCATATATTTGAGCACTGAGATTCTTAAGTATATAAATTATGACAACTTCGAAGTACTTCACAATCCTGCAATTACGACCCATATATTTATATTTAAGGAAGGCGACGAAGCCACCACTACCACAAGACATTTCGGTCCTTTGGGTCATCGACGGCTGCGAAGAACACCATCGTCGTCAAGATGCCTGACACTCTGGTCGTAGAATAACGAACAGCAATCACAATGCCTATTAGGATTTTCCTCTTGAAGTTGCGCTGTTGGTTGGGTCATACATGTAAGACTCAATTATATGGGGTCCGAAACATTCCTGTCGTACTATGAAACTCATTCCCCCTTGTCATGGCAGGTGCTTAGAAATGCTTACGATTCCAGCCGATGTTGTAAAAGCATTCAATATTGTTCTTCGCGTTACGATAGCATCTCTGGTGCACTCTGAACCGTTTGGGTTGCCATGCAAGTCATTACATCTGACAGTGGTGTCCATACCTGCAGACCCTCTCAATGAAGTTCTGATGACGTCCACATCTATTGGGATTGGGCTATTTAAAACCCGAACTGTTTCGTGAGAGAAACACGACAATTTATATAAAAAGGATGAGTTGCCGGCAGACCTTTTCAGTCGCCACGCTTTGAGGTGGGATCTTGGATAAGACAAAAACGTCTCCAACGCCTCCTTTCTTCCAATTGAACATAGCCAAACATCAATTCTGACCTACCATAGCACCTTAGCAAAGTTCTTAAGGTACTTGTACTCCAGGACCTTGTGAATGTTCCGATACATCATTGACAACTTCGGTGGCATGCTGTGGCATGCGAAGTGCTGAGAAGCGTGACAAATCTGCGGACTTCATTTAGTTCTGCATGTGTTTTCAGTATGCATTGTGGCCAGGGTTGAACTAATTATGACGACAGCAAGTCATCCATTGTTTTTTACTTAAAATCCTACGACAGGTCGGTTCGCGCTTCTTGCTGTATGGACTTGTGATATGAAGTCCGAGTATGATGATAGAATTCATGATGAGTACTAGGGTATGCAGATGCATTCCCTTTCCTTTCCCATGACAACTTGTTACGTTAGCCATTTACAAGTACTACTATAAACACTATATGTCATCAACGTGGAGAGAAGCGGGACAAAATAGATATTCCGTTGTCGGTACACAAACGCATGTCGGTGATCTCGCGATTTGCGATGTGCTGTTCTGTCCAAAGATTCAAAGTATTCTGGTTTCAACTTCAATACATCTTTTGATGTCGGATTCTGTTACTGATGTCACTTCTTCTAAGTGTAGAATTTTCAAATGGCCGCGATGTAACTTCCGACTTCGGATTCAAAACCCTTTTCGTCACATCATTCGAGCAAATTTTGCTTCGTTCCTCTCTGGTGATAAAAATCAAATGAGAAAACTGCTGGAAACGCAAACAACGTTTGTTACATAGAGCATACAATGAATTCAAACCGCGTCATGTCGATGGCTGCACTTCCAATTTCCATCACCGCTCCACTCGCATCAAGGACAGAGGTTACAGCAACCTGGAGGATAATGTCATCGTTAAACGATCGCCGGGGCACAAACATCATCATGCTATCGAGCTCAAATTGGAGTCTATGGTTAAGAGCACTACGAAAGCACTTGCCAGGCATACACCTCGTCTTGATGACGTAGAACCGATCTCCAAGGCGTCCTTTGAAAAGACTTGCCGAGGAAAATCATCAGCGGCGAAAGATGCCTCCAACTGGGGCGGCTTCGCTTGCAACAACAACAGAAGTGTATCTTCCTCCTCAAGGAGTGTTTCTCGTGCGCAAATCAACCTTGACGCTCCTGAACTTCCTGTATCTAAACTGGGTGGGCTTCCAAGAGTAGCAATCGGATTAAGTGAACCAATTGCATCAAGTGATCTCGCAACGAAAGTCCCCGCCATTCGGAACAACGACGATTGCAGTCTTGCTCTCAATAGCAGTGATGCAAGAAAACTACGAGCAAAACCAGAGCGGCAGAAAAAAAGGCGATCTCGACGTTACGGTGGCAAAGATCACGCGACGTCAAACGACGATATCTGTAACCAACGAAACAAGTCATTTTTCCACGCCAACTTGCCGGGTGACTCAACCGACAGCTCCTTTGGCAAGAATAGCGCAAGAAATGGAAAGGCTCCGCGATCTGAAGGTTGCTGCTCCGCAGTAAACGACAAGGGTGCAAGAAGGCGCTTACTTATGAGCCCGTCCAGAGCCAGGAGTGAAAGTTACCTGAGTTCCCAATCCCAACAAGAGCAATTGCACCTGCGTTCGTTGCGATCTCTTCAGCAAGAATCTGATGAGTACTGGAGATCCATTGTAACAAAGGAAAGTTCAAGAAGCAAACCGGCGTTACAAAACCACGATGGGGTTGTCCATTTACCTTCTGACGATGAAGAAATGGCTTCATTAATCACAACGAACATACGAAAGACCTTGATGAATATGCCTCCAATCATACAGGATCTCAAACTTCGAAAGTTCTTTCTCGAATTCTCGAGAACCTAAGTCAATTGGCTGATGAACATGATGGCACTGGGTTCCAGGATTCCACAACGGAGATTTGACGTCTTGGACGCAAAGTTATCGGGTCGTGAAGAAATCGCAACGCCAACACAGCGTTGGATGAGGAGGCATAGGATGCTGGGGGTTGGGTCCATGTCTAGAACATAAAGAAGCTCAGAGAAGGATTGAAAGAACAACCTACATCAATGAATACTGGGAAGCAAACATTGTCATTTGCGACGCCTTAAACTATTGTAAACTATTGAACTCTAAATGCGAGTCGTTCGATCATTAAACATCAATGTTAGTTAATTCATTGCGAGAGTAGGATGACGTGTCACTGCGACTAGAAAGTCGATTGCAACTCCATGCGACTGCAAATCTCCATATTACGCAGTCAAAGACCCAGGATCGGAAGGGTCCACGAAATCTGTAAATGTCACCAGTCCATCTATCAGCTCGATACACCACAAGCACTCTTTCTTCAAGATGTTGATTGATGATTTGACATGCCCTGAATCAACCTCATCTTTACTTCAAAAGAAATTGAGTTTGAGTCCGCATCTATACTGGCCCAAGTATGCACTTGAATACACCCTTCTTAGTGAAGGGCAGTTAGGAACCATCCATCTTTGTTTTGCACAAGATTCAGCATAATCTTTGTTTGGCAATATTCCGGCACAGTGCAACAGAGCTGTGCGCTTCCCTTACACACTACCGGTAGGACTCAACACATAGTACTTCCACCGTTTGCCGGAAGTTGAGGGTATCCATCACGTCGTCCGGCAACGTGCCTTCTCTGTACAACATTGGCTGGTTGCCATGATATCCAACATGGCGGATGTGGCTGCTCAACGTGTCGGCAAGCGGCGGTGTAATTGGTGTCATGGTGGCTAAACGTTGGAACAACGACGAGTGCGTCTGATGATAGAGTCTTCCAGCACTCGGTGTTCGGTTACGGTGCTCCCGTTCTGGAGTGCTGCCTTGAGCCGCCGGCCGCCGGTACCATGGTACTAGTAATTTGTATATTTGTATGCATAGACGACGTACTCTAGTACTGTACTCTGAGTATGGAGCAATTTTCATCCCTACCGTACCAGTACGAACCTGGAAGCTGGACGAGGTAGCCAATACTCTACTAGTAGAGTACGTGTTGTACCGATCTTCGACGGTCAACAAGTCAGAAGAATCTTGCGACGCCCCGACGCCCCTTCCTTCACCCGGAATCGTGGAGGTCGTGTTAACGCACAGAACTCGAACGAGTGGCGTGCCGGATGGTCCCGTTTTTGACATTTTTGCCGGTCATTCGAAACGAACCCTACATGGACAGGATTGTCACTGCGTTATATCATAGTCTGACTACTTGTACTGTGGAATACTCCGAGCATCTGCCAGTACATAGTTCATAAATGTGGGTAAGCAAATCGCGTGTTTAGAAAATCCGCACAAATACAGGAAGGTTGACAACAGTATATTTAGCTGACTTTCATGAGGTGAGCCTTCGCCATTTAAGGGACTTTTTACGATCAGGTGGTTGGCTTCCGCTGTCTGGATAGTCACATCATAGCACAAAGGCTCGTAGAATATGGACAAAGCAAGAACACCAGTCGGCCGTTGGTCTTGAATTGTGAATGGTCACAAGTCATCATGACCGCTTACGGACACAAATCCCAGCGTCGCATTCATCCCACATTTGTCAACAAACAAGTGAGAAATCTATCGCACAACGCATCATCTTTTAAAAAAAAAAGCGTTCCCCATCCTGCAAAACCAACATGACTACTCCATCTCAACCGCTGATCAACATCGAAAACAAACGTGACGTTTCGCCGACGGAAACTCAAGGAAAACGAAAATCCCGGAACTCGGAGCCATATTGTACTCTAGTGTTGGACTCTCAGCATACAGTCCAGTCGGCTTTGACTATGGAAAGCTCTCTGCTAGAGCCCAAGAATCGACTGCCGCGGAAAATTCGGCATTCGAAAAAATCTGCAATTAGCGGAAAGCAAGGGGGAGATGATAATCCGAAGCCGTTACCTCGTAAACTTGAATCAGGTAAGAACAGCGAAAGCAATCATTCTGTCGTCAGAGCTCAATCAGTATCCATAGAAGATCAGTCGACAACCGGACATGGGAGAGCGAGGGAGATAGGATCTAATCCGCTGGAGACAGACAAGGAATTTTCATGTGGAGATACTCACGAAACGGTAGTGTCGAGTGACGTTTCAGGTCAAGATCTAAACCGCAAGAAAGAAAAGAAGAAGAAGAAAAGGTCTTCATCGAAAAAGATCGAAAAATTGAGAAGTGCAGATGGTACATCTAACAAGTGTGAAGGAAGGAGGAGGAGAACCAGAAGCGAAACTCGCTCCAACAGTGAAGTTGAATCGTCTCAGGAGCTTGCGGCAGTTGAAGGGAAATGCCGAGTTCGACGACCCTCAGTGAGCCCAAATACCCCGAGACGAGGGTTGC